GTTGAAGTCTGCACGGCTTAAAGTTGCGGAGGTTGAGAAACGCTGCCTTAACCCCTCTTGAAAAAGATAGGCGAAGTCATACTTTTGGGATGGGGAAGCACCAGGAAATCCCAGGGCTGTAGGCAAGACTGAGAATAAAATAAAATCATTCTTGAAGACATCAACGGCAAATCACATTTATATCGTTTCCAAGATAAGTTACACGGATCTGCTCCTGTTGTCACTGGGAGTTGTGTTTACTGGCTCATCCAGTGAGATAGGCCACTGTTACTTCTCTTTCTAAACAGTGAACCGAGGCTGAGACATTTGCCACATTCATGCATTATACCAATTTTTTGGTGGGGCGATGGTGGTAATTGAGAAGCACTCAGGAAAATAATAGCAATTAGGAATGTGGTTTATGTCTGGATAATGAAGAACATTATCAGTACTTATTTATAACTAGCCTGGGGTTCAGGGTGACAGCTGAGAATCTATCTAGACTTTTATTATATCCATAATTTTAAAACAAGAAAAAAAAAAGTCAAAACCTAACTTTAAATAAAGCAGCCAAAAATTATTATATTTTATTTATTATATTATTATTAGAAATGATACCTGATCATTGTTGTTTTATAACAACTGGAACCTCAGAAAGAGAATACGTAATATTCAGCTAATTATATATAAAAACTGCTACTGCTGAGAAACTGTGTCATTTGGGATTTGCCTGGATATATGAAGACCAGCTACAGAATTAATTACTCAGGATTATCATCTCGGAAAAGTCCCAGATTTACAAAGGCCTTAGGTTATGTAGGAGCTGAACCTGCAGCTCAGTTTCTCTTTCCATCTACAGTGTGAGAAAAATAATACTGAGATACCTTGCAGGGTTCTTATAGGGATTAGTGGAGTAAGATTACAGGTTGAATGTTCTAAACCCTCATAAAATGTAATATAAATGCTGAGTTAGTGATATTATTGTAAGGTGTAGACATTTTAATTACAGTGATCTAGATTTCTCTTTTACTTCAATCTAATCGTCTATCTGAGAACAGATGTATTGGGAAGAAGATTTTCCAAGCATCAGCAAGCATTGACACATTCACACATTAAAGTGTATCTTGACATCTGCACCAGGTTTAAACTCAACCCAATTTCTGGCCAGTTACTAAAAACTGGTAGTGTGATTCGCCTTTGAGACAGAACACACATGAAACCAATAGCTGAAGATAGGTCTTTTTTTGTTAGATCATAATTTTAATAAGGAAATTTCCCCAAACTCCCTCTGCAGAAGCATACAGGGAAAAAAGAAAAAGAAAAATCCTAGCTCTGCCCACATCCTGAAGATGGTCTTACCTACTTTTGACAGAGTCTCAGCCACTGGGGCTTGCAGCCATCCAAAGTTGCCCTTCTCTGTACTAATCCAATACTTCAATTAAGTATTATAATGCTATGATCATGTCATTTGGGGCAAATGACTAAAATATTCCCCATCCCACCCCCCAAAAAGACAAGGCACAACTAAGCAACATCTGCACCAGTAGTAGTCAACATGGTGGAGGAGGGAATCAAATCAATGCCAGCTTTTCTTCAGCTTCTAATGTGTTTATTACCTTTTCCTTCCAATTCCACTCTTCTCTCCGGTTCTTTGCAGATCCGTTGCATTCAGGATCCTTTCTTTTATTTCTATACAACTCATTTCAGAGGTGTGATTTCACATTTTAGTGAGATTTGAGTCAAGAGGGGCTTTGTTCCCCTTGCATGTATTTGTCTTTCAAATATTCCATTCAATTATGATTTCATATCTCAGAGTAATGGCATTTTAGTTAATGGTGTCACATCCTTTTAAGAAAACAGGTTTGTACCCTTGGCACGTCAATGTCAGTGTCTCGTTACCCGACTGAAGGAAGACCAGCCAGAAATGGGCTCTCTGGATAAGATACCCATGTATGAATGAGAATGTGGAGCAGAAGAAAAGCTTTTAGCTCCCCAGCTCTTGTTTTATTTGGCCCCAATTATCTTCACTGAAACTGGCCTCTCCCAAGTGGGAGCTCTCCAGATGTGCAGGACCTTGCTGTCCACAGTTTTAGGATTATGAGAGGGGAAGTTGGAGATGGCAGCTCAGCCAACCTTCTGCAGGGATCCCCGGCCTCTATCAGCAGCTGAGGAGTGGGAGATGGCAAACATCTTCCAACACTGCAAAGCCCATCAGAGTGCCTTTAGTGCAGGGGGAAGGATTTAATTATGGGCTTGGGCTATTTCCCACTGATACCTAAATTTGACACAAATATACTCCAGCTGGCAATATATATACAGTACATATACATTCACATTTTTTTCTCTTCTCTTCTCTTCTCTTCTCTTCTCTTCTCTTCTCTTCTCTTCTCTTCTCTTCTCTTCCCTACCTACCTACCAACCATGTACTGTCTGAGATTTGCCTGAGTCACCCTGAGCTGCACTGTTGTTCAAGTGGCGTTTTCCCTCTTATTCCGACTCTCTCCAACCACAGCAGCTTCATAATCAGTTCAACCGTTATCAAGATGAGACTGACGCAGAGTTGCAATTTCTGGAAGTTAACTTCCAGAAAAGCAGGTAGTGAATCAGACTTGTAAAACGCTAAACCTTCCACCGGGTCGTCTAGCTTCCTTCTTCTTCTTTCTTTTTTTCTGATGAAACGATCTGCCTTCTTGCACGCGCGGCGGCTGCTTCCTTTCCCCCTCCCCCGCCCGGCCGCTTGCTTTCTCGCTCGCCACTCCTGATGCAACCTCCGCGGCCGCTTACACGAAAGGCCTGGGAGATCGGGAGGCGCTAGGACCCGGCCGGCGTCTGAAGCCGGGAGCGTCATGTAAAATTCCCCGTCCCGACCTTCCTCTGCCGAAGCGGCGGCGGCGGCAAAGTCGCGCGGAGCCATTGCGCCAGGGCTTCTGCCGCGAGCGCCGGCGCCCTTCACCCGGGGAACATATAGCACAAAGGGTCGTGCGAACGCACCATGCGCGTCGCCAGCTGTCATTCCAGATCCACCCCGCACACTGTTGGGGGAATGCTTCCATTGCTTGGGGCCCGTCCGGGAGGGGAATGAAGCGGATTACGGGCAAAAGCAAACAACTTGCTCTAGAGGAGCTTCCCGGGGATGCTGGATCTTTCCAGGCGCGTGAGAAAGCCTGCTTTTTACTTTTTTTTTTCCCCAAATGCAACGCGGAGCTCCGCGTCGGGCAACTGTTGCCCCGCTTGCGGCCCGTAGGAAGTCTTTTGACACAGTTCAGCTCCCCCTCCCCCAATTTTGACTTTCTTAAAACGTTGCTCGCGGCGTTTCCACTTGGAAGAGATGGATCGTGTCGATTAAGGTCCAGGTCTGGCCGCCCGGTTCAGGCCGTTCCAAGATTAAGCGGTGAAAATCGTGAAATCCGATGTCTGGAGAAAAATTGGGGGTGGGGGGGCTGCTTCGTTCACCGTTTGCAGTTCCCGCAGGAAAGGCGGGATACGGGTCTGATCAGTAAATACACACGAACACGTTACGCGCAGCGAGTGGGATTATCTCGTGTGAACAAGCGCCGGGCGTCCACGGGGAGGAAAGGAACTCCAATCGTGGCCGGGCAGCGAAAGGGGAGAAAGGGTTAGCAGAAAGAAGGACCACTGGTAAAGCCACGATGGTTGGGGCTCCTAAGAACTGCATCCCGGATCGGTTCACACGGACCTCGAGCCAAACCGAGCAACTTGCCCCCGACGTGTGAATGGCCCCGTTCCCCAAACCTTAAGTCTCAGCCTGCTGCTCGGGCATCGCTACTGTGGGCCAATTATTGCCTTATTCGAAAATCCCGGCGTAGCCCGGATTAGGGTCCTTTAGCAGGAAAGGCGGAGACGCCCGCTCGCCTTCCAGCGGAACCCACCGCCCGTAAGGAAGTCTTAGGCCACGGCGCTGTGCGGGCGAAGGGAGGGCAGCGCCTGGAGCAGCGTTTCCACCGGCCCAATTCCCCGGGATCTCGTCGCCGGACCCATCTCGGCTCCCCAACGCGCTGGGTGAAGTTGTGGTCGAGCTGCGGCGACAGAGAACCGGGGAGCGGGGCGTCCGATTTGCAGTGGGAAGTCCCGACCAAGTTCCACGCAGCTCGGCGTGGAAA